AGCAGCAACACCAGCAGCAGCAGCAGCAGCAGCAGAAGCACAGCAGAAGGAAAACGGGAGGCGACTGTAGGCCTTTTAAGGAAGAGATATTTAGGGTTTAGGGTTTAGGGTTTAGGGTTTAGGGTTTAGGGTTTAGGGTTTACAAGAGGAACTCTATCAAATATAAGAGGAAGTAGAGGAGAATTAAATAAATGTAAACGAATTAATCCATGAGCAAGAAGAGATAAACCCTTAGCATCTGTATACTCTAGATTCAACTGCAACACAAACCCTAAACCCTAAACCCTAAACCCTAAACCCTAAACCCTAGAGAATGATTTATGAACAGAAAAAGTGAAGGGTATAGGGTAGATATTTAAACAGGTGGATGGGGAGAAGGAAGCATTCCCTTAGTACGTTTTTAGGGTTTAGGGTTTAGGGTTTAGGGTTTTAGGGTTTAGGGTTTAGGGTTTAGGGTTTAGGGTTTACGTCTTGTAGGTGTCTCATTAAGGGTTTATGTAATATATTTGTCTTAGCGAGTGTATAAAATATTTCAATAAGAATTAGGGTTTGCTTCTTTCTTGCTGCAAGTTGTTCATCTTCTTCTGCTGCTGCTGCTGCTGTTCTGCTGCTGCTGCTGCTGCTGCTGCTGCTGCTGCATGCATTTAGCTGTTTTAATAATAAAGAAGCCTCATGACCAATTTTAATTAAGACAGACAAAACCTTTTTTCTTTCTTTTTCTTCTTCTGTCTCCTCGTTGCTGCTGCTGCTGCTGCTGTTGCTGCTGCTGCTGCTGCTGTTGCTGTTGCTGCTGCTGCTGTTGCTGCTGCTGCTGTTGCTGCTGCTGCTGTTGCTGTGTTCAATTTTAGCAGCAAGTACACGAGCAATACCTAATAACATTTGGGGCTGCATGCATGCAATAAATAAATAAATATAATTAATTAAATAAATAAATAAAAAAGAATTAAATAAATTAATTCTTTTTATATAAATAAATAAATAAAATAAAGAAGAGACACATAAATTAATTGTCTCTTTTTTTTTTATTCTTTTCTCTAGCAGCAGCAGCAAATCTGCTGCTGCTGCTGCTGCTGATTCACGTGCTGCTGCTGCTATTGATAAGGCGGAGTCGCGCTCTGCTGCTGCTGCTGCTGCTGATCGTATTCCTGCTGCTGCTCCTGCTGCTGCTGCTACCCCGCCAGCTCCCCCTTCTTCTGCTGCTGCTGCTGCTGGAGGAGGAGCAGCAGCAGCAACAGCAGAAGCAGCAACAAGATGCAGCAGGGATGGATCTGTTGCTGCATGCATGCAGCGACTAATAAGGAGACAGCTGCATGCGTCTCCTTTTTGCTGCAGTTGCTGCAGCAGTCTTCTTAGTAAGAAAAGGGCATCTATACGGACTAATGCTGCTGCTGCTTCTGCTGCTGCTGCTGCTGTTGCTGCTGCTGCTGATGTTGATACTTTTGCTTCCCCTGCTGCTGTTGCTCCTCTTTCTGCAGCAGCAGCAGCTGCTGCTGCTGCTGCTGTTGAGCTTTTAACGCTTGACTTGTGCTGCTCCAGTTGCTGCTCCTGTTGCTGCTGCTGCTGCTGTAGGTATTGCTGCAGTTGCTGCTGCAGCAGCAGCAGCAACTCTCCTCTTATCTGCAATTCCTTTAGGGAAAAAAGAAGAGGATATACACCTGAGGGTTTGCTTCTTGCTGTTGCTGCATGCAGCAGCAGACGCTGCCCGACCTCCGCATACACCCGAACTCGCTGCAGCTGCTGCGGGTACAGCAGCAAAGACACAGGTCCTCCTCCTCCTCCTCCTTCTCCTCGTGCTGCTGCTGCTGCTGCTGCTGCTGCTTGCCATGTCCTTAATAAGGGGCGCAGCAACTCCTGTCTTGCTGCTAGCAGCAAACCTGCATCTGTTGGGTTTAGCTGCTGCTGCAGTTGCTGCTGCAGCAATTTCTTATCTATTTCCCATAATGCTGTTGCTGCTGCTGCTGCTGCTGTTTGTCTTGCTGCTGCTCCTCCTCCTGTTGCTGCTGCTGCTGCTGCTGCTGCTGCTGCTTTTTGTGCCTGACGCAGCTGCAGCACGTGCTGCAGCGCAGCAGCAACAAGTGTCTCCTTTTCTCCTTTGCATGCACTTAATGTCTCCTTATAATGCGGGAAAATTTCTGCTGCTGCTGCTGCTGCTGCTGCAGCACCTCCTGCTGCTCCTGCCGCTGTTCCTTCTGCTCCTGCTGCTGCTGCTGCTGCTGCTTCCTCATAAGCATCAATTAGATCTAAAGAAACAGAGAAAAGAAGATTTTTATGTTTTTTTTTCTCCTTTTTGCTGCGCGGTTTGTGTAATACAGCAAAACCTTTAGAGGGAGGAAGAATAAAAGAAGAAGAAGAAGAATAATAACGTGCTGCTGCTGTTGCTGCTGCTGCTGCTGCTGTTGGTGCTGCTGCAGCAGATGCAGCAGCAGGAGATGATCCGGATAATCCTAGGGATGATAGGGATATGCGATATCTAAGGGGTGCAGCTTGCTGCAGCAGATGCTGCTGCTGCTGCTGCTGCTGCTGCTGTTGCTGCTGTTGCTGCTGCTGCTGCTGCAGAAAGGGAAGGGAGGGTCTGCTGCTGCATATAACACATCTTGGTGTTGTTGCTGTTGCTGCTGCTGCTTGTGTTGCTGCAGCTGCTGCTGCTCGCCAAGGCGAGTCTCCTGTAGTAACTACTGTTGCTCCTTTAGCTGCTGCTGCTGCAGCAGCAGCTGCTGCTGCTGATCGTGGTGTAACTGCAGCAGCTGCTGCTGCTCGTGAAGGAAGATAATTTTGCTGCAGAAGGGGAGAGAGAAGGGAGCAAGAGAGCTGCTGCATGGGAGAGACCACCCGTACACCCTAAACCCTAAACCCTAAACACTAAACCCTACACACTAAACCCTAAACACTAACGATCTTCTTTCCTATATGACGAAAAAGAGAAAAACATCTTTTTTAATTAAAGATGAATAAATAAAAAAGAAGAAAAAGAAGAATAATTTGCGCTGTACATACACCTCAGCAACAACAGCATAGGGGCTGTCGATAGTCCTTCTTCCTATTAAAGTCTTCTGTCTTTATATTAAGAAATAACCACCTTTTGCCTATTTATCCATAAAGATTCCTGTTTAGGGTTTAGTGTTTAGTGTTTAGGGTTTAGGGTTTAGGGTTTAGGGTTTAGGGTTTAGGGTTTAGTGTTTGGGTGCCGGTGGTGAGCCATTTTGCGTGTAAAACTTGCATGAGGGTTTTGGGGCTTTTCTTGCATGCATCCTTCGCGATAAAAATGAATTTATGCATTAAAAAGTATTTATTGTTTCTTTTTCCGAGAAAAATACGAATTTTCTTTCTATTTGATGGTAGACAACAGGAAATTGAATTAGGGTGTACATACACCTCAAGAAGCGCCGCCCCCGCGGAGCAGCGTTGTTTCTGATGTTTTTTCTGTGAATTAATCACAAATTTGTATTTTTATTCATTTTTGTCGGTAAAAACGGCAAAACAACATCCAAAAATAATTAAAAAACCTTCTTTTACACCTCCAATACCTCCCTATACACCCCAGCATATATATACAATAATACATCATAACAAGGCTGCCAATACACCCGAGCTGCCTATACACCTGAGCTGCCTATACACCCCAATTCTTCTTCTTTTCTTCTCTCTATTTTTTTGTTTTTCTTTCCTTTTGCAGCGCTCCTTATTGCGCTGTTTTAATGCCTATATGGAAGGATATTAAGGAAGATATCCTGTGGACTTGTATAGAGCAGCAAACCCTAAACCCTAAACCCTAAACCCTAGAAAAGAGATCGAGTTATCGTCTGTAGCCTATAACAACGATTCTCCTTTTCTTATTTATTTGTATTTATTCATATTTTTCTTCTTTTCTTCCCTTTTATATTTATTAAGAGGGAATTAATCACCATTTTGTTGCCTTATTTTTGCGGTGTATGTACGTACACCTGAAGGGTTTAGGATTCAGCAGCAGCAGCAACAGCAGCAGCAGCAGCAGCAGCAGCAGAAAATAATTGAATATAAGACAGAAAAAAGAAGAGGACGAAAAGGAACATCATAGTCCCCTCCTTAAATTCCTTCTGGTTGCTGCTGCCGCCGCGCTTCTCCCGCTGCTGCTTCTATTTGCTGCTGCTGCTGCTGCTGCTGCTGCTGTTTGCTGCTTTGGCATGCAGCAGCAAAAGTATAATGCCTGACTCTCCCCTAAACCCTAAAACACCCGAGGAGACAGCTGAAGGTGCGGTGTCTCCTCATGGGAATAATATAACAGCAGCAAAAGAAGAAACAGCAGCAGCAGCAGCAGCAGCAGCAGCAGAAGCAGCAGAAGCAGGTGTACCAGCTGCAGCAGAAGCTGCAGCAGCAACTGCAACTGCAAGTGCAAGCAGTAGTAGTACTACCAGCAGCAGTCCAACCTGCAGCAGCAGCAATAGCAGCAGCAGCAGCAATAGCAGCAGCAGAAGCAGTCCTACCTGCAACTGTAGCAGCAATAACAACAGCAGCAGCGCCTGTTGCAGCAACAGCAGCAGCAGCAGCAGCAGCAGCAGCAATTGCTGCGGTCTATCATTAGAGCAGCACGTAGTAGATAGTTTTTGGCGATGTTTTACAGCAAAACAAAATGATCTTGCTCTTGCTGCTGTGCATGCACTAGCTACAGTTGTGCATGCGTAAGCTAGGGTTTAGGGTTTAGGGTTTAGGGTTTAGCCTGAATAAATAAGCACCCAATATAAATTACTTTTATTATTCCTGTAACTTCTTAGGGTTTATAGTTTGACCTATTTCTATTATTTTCTATTATTTCTATTATTTCTATGGTTTCTAGGGTTTAGGGTTTAGGGTTTAGGGTTTAGGGTTTAGGGTTTAGGGTTTTTTTTCAGGTCTCGTGCTGAGAGCGTAATGGAATTATTTGTTCATCTTCGTGCGGCAACAGAAGCCCTCGAGGATTATGTAGGAAGAGGAGATGTATTAGAATATATAGCTAAGAGGACTTGCGTACGGGTAAGGGGGGCCCC